TCCCTTATAAAATTATTCAAAGCTAACCCTTATAAATTATGTTCTAATATGAGTTAATACACGCTAACTACTTTAATTAGGAAATTATAATAGTATTATACACAAAACACAGTTCGTCATTGGTTAATTATTTGTGCACCTAGGAGCACAGATGGACCCTTGTCACCGACATTCTCCCCCTTGTGCGTTGCACCATCTTCCTGGCTCGGCGATACTCCCGGCACCAGCAGCAGTACTCTTGAACTGGGTCTTCTCAGCACACCTCCGCGCGTCTCGAAGTCAACGATCCTTGTCCGCCAATCAGGTCCAGGATATTCTTGGAAGATTCTGCCGCGTGGCCAGGTGCATCTTGATAGGCTGTGGTCAACGATCAGCACGATGGCTAAAACTTGCAGGTCTGTGGCGCTGGTTCTTGCTTACATCTTCCTTGGCAAAAGAGTGGGCAGATATTCTCGCAGCCAACGTTGCCAGAAGTGGTCGGCAAGCCGCTGCGTGGCCTTCCATGTAGATCTGCCCACGAGTTCGCTGTCGTCGAAGCTGCCGATTCTTGCTGCGCCGCAGGACCGCCCGATAAGGAAGGTTCTCAGAGAGGTGTGTGAGAGGTCGAGAGTTGACTCATCGATGGGCCGAGGCAATACGGTCCAAGGGTGAGACATTGCGAAGGCCTTCGATCGGGTTTGGCACAAATCACTTCTTTCGAGGCTCCATTCCTATGGGCTTCCCGGGAAATTGTGCAATTGGATCACCAGCTTTCTTGCAAATTGGGTCATCAAGGTCGTTGTAGATGGTGCATGCTCCTATTACAGGCCTATTAATGCTGGCACTCCACGAGGCTGCGTGCTATCACCAACGCTGTTTCTTCTGCTAATCAATCATATGTTGCAAGCAGGTAACATTCATTGCTATGCGGAAGATAGCGCTGGTGATGCTCTGTACACCGGCCGTGCCGATATTGCTCGGAAAACGTTTCCGAGTACCGTGATATACTTATATCTGAATTCCCTCAGAAAACACATAAAAAGAACCCCTTTGTCGTATCTTCTCAGTTTCAAGGCACTCCCCTTGTTCCCTCAGCCAGTATCGGTATCCATTATATCGTATGGCGATGACATATCGAGTGACGTGCAGTTTCGTGGTCACTTGGAAGAGAAGGCCTAATTGGCCTCTAAAAAGCTTGGCGTATTCAGCAGATCGGGACAGTTTTTTATGCCGGCACACCGCCTACAACTTTACAAGGTGCAGGTTCGGCCACACATGGAATACTGTTCCCATGTCTGGGCTGAGGCTCCCTAGTGCCAGCTCCTTCCACTTGACTGCATCCAGCGCAGAGCAGCTCGAATCGTCGACGACCGAGTGCTTATCGATTGGCTCGATTTACTGGCGCTGCGAAAAGATGTTGCATCTCTTTGCATTTTCTTTCGCATCGACCACGGGGAGTGCTCTGAGGAATTGTTCGGAGTAATCCAAGCCGCCAAATTTCATGAACGCACTACGCGGCAAAGCTTCCGATTCCATCAACACCATCTGGATGCTTGGCCGTCCACCATGAAAGTTTCACTAGGAGTTTTTTCCGCGTACGTCCTCTCTGTGGAATAGTTTATTTATACACGACCTAGAGACCTTCAAGAAAAGAGCTTACTCCTTTCTAAAAGGCTGGCAACGCACGTGCAATTCCCCTGGTGTTGCAGTTGTTAATGGGAGGCGTTAGTCACTTAACAATAGGTGAACCTTATGATCGTTTGCCCCCTCTTCTATGAAAAAAATCTGCCTGATCAGCTGAGAGTTTGAAAAACCTAATAAGTATTACTTTTGTGGCCGGTGAGGAAGGAAAAGGGGAGATCTCCCGCCGGGCAAGGTGTTCTGCCCGGGGAGCGGCCAACACTCCGAGTGATAGTTCGGAGAAGTTCTATATATACTGTTTCTGATTCGGAATGTTGATATCGTGATTTAGGCTTCGGTGTATTTCGCTTGTGGCGCGACGACAGCGCCGCTACATCACCCCCCTGCTCAGACCGGAGGTCGATAGTGCAGTCTCGTTGTCGACGAATGTGCAAGTGCCAGGAGATTGCCTTGTAGTCTGCGGTGAGTCGAGAAGAAGGCAAGTAATCTGCGAGAGTGCCGTGAAGCAGAGGCGAGCAGTAAGGCTCAGAGCCGTGCCGAACACTGTAGCGCAGAGTGTAGCTTGAAGGAACAGGAAGCATTATTATTCCAGTGCTGCGATGAACCTTGTGAAGCTAGATGGCTTGCAGGATATGAAGACTGCAGACGACATCTGCTCGGGAGCGAATGGGTGGGGTATTCTATGACGATGATGAAGCTTGAAGTTTCCGAAGGTTGTTGGTTGCGTGTTCAGATCACGTCGGGTGGTCACCACTGTGGCCGTGAAGGAAAAGGGGAGATCTCCCGCCGCGCAAGGTGTTCTGCCCGGGGAGCGGCCGACACTCCGAGTGATAGTTCGGAGAAGTTCTATATATACTGTTTCTGATTCGGAATGTTGATATCGTGATTTAGGCTTCGGTGTATTTCGCTTGTGGCGCGACGACAGCGCCGCTACACTTTAATTAAGGTTCTCCGGATACGATAAAATGCGTAATGAGTTTAAATGTTTTGTTAATGAGGGAAATGAGAATTTACGAAGAACTGTGTAAGAATATTGTCCATTACCTTAATCATGAATGTACGCAAGCCAGGTACGTGAAAGTTATGGTACAATTGAATAATGAATTACATGAGATGAATTGTTAAGAAGTGAATGAAATAATATCGATCACTGTGTAGCAGCCAGGCTAATCAACCCTAAATAATATATACCCTGCTGCTACCATAACACAGAAGGCGAAGAAAACATTTATTTTCTAATTATCCCCGGCTACTGAGATACTGCGGGCTGCACATCGATGCGAGATAATTTGACGTATATATTTAACGTTCTAATAAAGGAACAAGAAACAGCCGCAAATATCATTCAGTGCCACATCGTCATCACACGCCGCTATTGTCATGTATCCGTCGACTATTTTTGAGCCGTCTCTTCAACGCCGCAGCTCGCTTCTTTTTGCTGTTCCGGAGCTGTGTCCCACGCCGCCACCGCTCGCCGACTACACGCGCGCGCTTTTTCTTTTTGCGCCCGAAGCAATTGGAAAAGGGCTACCCTTTATGTAGGGAGGCGGAAAATGCTTTACGCATACCACGACAGCCGGTCTATCATGGTTATGAGGGACTCACTGCCTACCGGGAGAACCTAAGTGATACCCTCTAAAAACAGCCTTTTGGGAACTGGCAACCAGCTGTTTAAGCTTCTTATGCCGTATCGGAAGCGACCCTCTTTTGGGAAAAGAGGGCGCAGGCGGCTACGAGCCGCTGAGGGAGTGCCTACGAAGGCAAATTAATTATGAATAATTTAATTAGAGTTGGCCTGAGCCGCCAGGAGGCAGTTCAGGTCATTTGACAGTTTATTAGGCGGGTCCGAGTGAGAGTTTCTCGGCCTGCGGACGCGCGCGCCAGCCTGTACAACTTTTATAGCCCAGTCCAGCGACGTAGCTACGAGAAGATATACACGAGTCTCACGCCGGCAAATGGAACGCATGTAATAGTTGTATTTTGATTAATCTTTATTGGTCATAATGTAAGAATTGTAATTGGCTAGGCAAATAAAAATTGTTATTATTGGTAAACTGACGACGTAGCCGGACATATAAATATAGGCAGGGTTGACGTAAAAATATATTCCATATTCCATATCCCATATTCTATACTCCATACACCATTCGTCGGCAGATAAAATAGTAGTTTCATTTCTCCACCACCAAACCACTCGGAGTCTGTTAATAGTGGACCTCATATCACCACTATTAAAATTCTCTTGATCAAGTATGTACACGAGCCATGTACATTTTTTTAACAATAAGTGACATTATAAAGAACACAGGTAGCTGCGCGTCCTAAACTAAGCGCAGCTTGTATTTCAGGACCCTGGCATGCGATACAAAACGGTTTGTCACTGGACCTCTTTTACATCGAGATAGTGTTAATATTACGTGCTTGTCATCGGCCTTTAAAAGTAATGGTACAAAAACTAAGGAAGTATTGTTTTACTACATAAATGAAAGAAATGACACAATTATCTAATAAAGAATAGCTAAAATGCCATTGAGTAAAATTAAAAATAAATAATGGTTAGCCAAATATAAAAATATGTTATAAATAATGCTAAAATAATAAACATTAAGATGAAAATTTATGAATAAATAAATAAGAGAAGAGTATTTTAAAATATAAATGCCTGTTCATACTAGATGTTCGAGAATTAGATCATTATTACTGGTTGCGCGGAAAACCATTCGTATTTATTTTTATTTGACGGTAGGCTTGCCAAATCGTTTATCCCTTTCCAAACGATATCATTCATACCCTCCTATCGACACATCGGGGTGGTGGGGTGGGAGGGGAAAGAAGATGATTCTAGAATATTACGCGATCATCGCAACCGAAGGAATAAAAAGGCACGCGCGGCCGACGCGCACGCTCTTCCCGCCGCGCTCGTCGTTGGAACCACACCGCTTAAGACAATAGTGTCCACGCGCACCGCTAGTATATCCGCTTTAGCCTGGACGCAGTCGAACTCCAGGAAACCCGCCTCACCTCGTGTGAGAAATAGTCGAGATAATTTTGTCACACTTCACATTGTTTATTTATTGATAGCACATTGAGTACGGTATTGAATGATTCGAGGGACATGTCGAAAGGAATGTGACTGAGTTCATAGTCTCACACCAATCGGTTCACTTCACATAAGACTGTTTTATGTCGATATATGATTATCATCCACTTTAGGCTTTTAGGTTTAAATTAGTTTGCTTAAATTCGGACGCTGAGCAAACGCTTCGAGAAACGTGCAAGGATGTATTTATTATATCTGTATTATCAGTTTTGTGCTGTAAGCATAAAACTTAATTTATGAACTACGTTATTACTCTTATTAGTTTGTGTTTATGAACGCAATGGTAACTTCAATAAATTAAAAGTAAAATCTGATTTCTTTATGGATACAAATAGAAGTCTATGACACATTCAAAAGCAAACTTACATAGACAATATTTTTATAAGTTGTAATCTAGTCAAAGGTTGTATTCTGAATTTTGTCTATGCAAAATTTGGCTCACAATAAACACTTTTAAATTGTAAAAGTAATATATGCTTTAAATTCGCAAAATATTTATGAAAACAAATAACTTAGATTTTTTTCAGTTATATAATTTATTTATTTGTACTTTTATTGTGTATTTTAAATAAAAGATAGTTTTCACTTCTATTAGACCGGAAGTACTCGGTATTTAGACATGTTCCGTGAAACCCCCCGTTGTTTTGCATCAAGAAAATGCAATGGCCGCCATCTTCGACTCTTGTGAATGTTTTGGTCGTAGTTTCAGACTTTGAGGCCTATTTCATACGTGATATGCAATTATTGGATGGGAATAGTTTCGCTACATCATAGGTGTTATTAGTTCATTAGGGGAGAGGTTAGTACTTTTTTCCATTACTATTTTGTCTTAAAGTGTTTACATCTAGATTTTATAGCAAAATAGTCGTGATATTGTAATTTTGCATTCAAATTGGCATTATTTTTGTCATGTTTCTTACTTATTTACCTGAATTATCAATATTTAATTCAACATTATTTTACTGATACATAATTACGCGAACCACATTCTAGTATGTGCTTATAATTTTCATTTGTTTGATACTAATCGGAAATAGTAATTCATATTAAGACTAATGGCGACAACTTTGGCACATTTTTCTTTGGAATTATTGTAATTTTCGGTTTTAGGTTAGTGTTTACTTTTTGATGTTTAGAGACATTCAGTGTTCGTGCCACAATAATGGCGGCAGTGAATTTTAACCTATCTATTTATTTGACTCATTTTAGACGACTTAGCGCTTATATTAAGATTTATTTTTGTGTTATGCTTTATATTTTCCCGTAGGAAACAAAAGAAAGTGACTTTTGGCTTATTTCTGGAACAATGACCTCTACTGTCTTTATATTATTTGTGGACTAAAAATATTTTGCTATGAGCGTAAAGATATTCAATGCGCTTATTTGCGAAGCTAACGAGGATTTGTGGGTAAAAAGTCGATTTTCGATTGCAGTAACATAATTAAGTTTGGAGGACCAGAGCCACTCCATCGCGTCATCTGGGGCTCGACCCAAGATGATATTCTCATCATGTCTGCAACATCAGAATATGAACCAGTGGCCCGGCAAGTAAGTATAACTTGTGTTAAGTTCGTATTTGACTTTGTGACACCCTGCTGTATGACCTGTAACTCCAAGTCATTTAAACAAAATATTCATATATTTGTCTGAAAACACTTATCATTTATTAATGATCTATGTTCTATTATTATTTAATAAGTATTTGATTATTTCATTCATTATAATTCCATTAATTGTATTGATTTCAAAGAAATAAGTTCAAAGAGAGGTTGTTCATAATAAAGATGTGATAATTAAAAATTGTGTTTGCCTATACCTTTTTTGTTTGTACTCTTATATCTTTTATCTTTTCATCTAAATGTTGGTGAGTAACTATGGTTCATAAATTATTTTATAAATTTGCATAAATCTGGTTCTAAAGTATAATTTTATCAATGTTATGGCTGAATGAGGGCATTAGATATGGTTGTCAGTCTAATGTTTTTGTACTTACAATATTGACTGTATCATAATGCATTCACTCAATAAAGGACTTTAAAGGCAGTGCAAAATAGAATTAAAATACATATTAAACCTGACAATGGAAAATTAATAGCTAATCAACAATTTTACTACAGTAATAATTAAATTTCAGTTATATGCTGATTTACTATATGGATGCAAAAATCAATTTATTTGAAGGATATTTTACTTATTTAAAAAAAATTGTTACAGGATTATGGGCCGGCCGCCTCCAGTGAAAATATATATGAACATGTTTTGGAGCACAAATTAACAGACAATATGAATGTTTCTAGTATAAGAACTCCTGTTTTAAGGGCTGTGCCTTTATCGCCTACTGAAGGTGATCCTGAACCTGATTCTACTAATCCCGAGAGTATTATCCAGTCTATACACAAAGTAGATAAAGAAGTAGAATTTCATATTGGTGATAAGCATTGCAATACTGAAATGTCTGTTGAGTCTTTATCCAGAATTGTGAGAATTGAAGAAACCACAATTGATGATGTGGGTCGCATAGCATACCCCATATTGCAGGAAACAGATGATTCCGGAGATGGAAACTTTGTAGAGAATGCTACTACTTTAATCCAGGCTCCTATAAATACAGCTATTGTGCAAAATGTAACTAAACTCCCACAAAACTTTACAATTAATGTAGATGCTGCAGTAGGTAATATTACTGCTATTCAAAATGTTTCACAAGATGCCTCAGGTAATCCAACATTGTGGTTGCCTACCATTCTCACAACTAGTGCTGCACCTGAAAATAAAACTGATGATGACCATTCACCAGGAAGTTTATCTCAAATAATAATCACCAGTGAAAGTTATGTTAATGATACTAATCAAGCAGGCAGAAGAACTAATATAATAACAGAAACCAACTATATTAGTCGTCCCAAGACATCCAAAGTTCAGATTCTAAGCAATATTTCTCTTCCAAAGAATACAAATTATTCTCAGCAATACATATCACAAGGAAAAGAGATACCATCTCCTGTATATGGAACACAGAATCATGTCTATAAATTAAGTGCCAATGTTGTATCCCAGAAGCACTTGAACAACTCAGTCTTAAACATAAAGCCTCCAAAAAATCAATCTCTTATAGGATGCTCATCCCTTTCACCAACAATAATAAATAATAATCCTATTAAAAATGTATCTTATAGCCATACATACACGAAAAGCACAAACTTAAACAAGTCATTGAATAAGGTTAATAATGGTGCTAATTTAAATACTATGGTAGCGGCCTCATCCGGCAATACGCAGTGCCATATTTTATCTCGTGTTGTATCTGGGCCCAACAAGATGTCCGTCCATTCAGGTAGAAAAGCAATTAAGAGTGCAAAAGGTTCAAGTCAAGGATCTGGACAGAAAGATCAGTCTAGAGCAATTAAAATTATACAACAAGCTGGTGCATCTCATAAATCTGAAGGAAAGTCATGGCCTGTTGCAAGCATCACATACAAGAGTCAACCACAAAGTTATGGAGTGATGGATTCTAATGCTTCTAAGATTATACAGAAAGTTGGCAGTCCAACACACAAAACTCAGTCAATGTCATTGCAAAAAGTTTCAAAAGGTGATCGATTGGTGCTTCAGTCTCCTTGTGGCCCTGTCTTGCTTTCTACAGCACCACTAAATATAAACTTGCCCCAAGGTCCCCACTATGTACAGTCTGGATCAACACCCAATCTGCGATATGTACAGACCTATGCCTCAACAGACAATCAACTGTCCACTGTGTCTCAAGTCTCTGCCAATCAGCAACTTACTGAACAAATATTACAGTCACTTGCTCAACCTAAAATAATGTTACAACAAAGCCCAATAAGAATGAATCATACTGTATTACCAACATCAATTGTAGAAGAGCCTATTGACATAAAACCTGTTAATCAAAAAAGGATTGTGTTGTAAGTATATATTGTCATTTTAGCAGTAACTTTTTAACCATGTTTGTTAAGATTATATTTACTTTTGTTTCTTTACAGTGGTGACAAGTCTACACTATTAATGGCTGATGACATAATTGGAATGGAGGAGAGACCCAATTTGACTGAAGAACTTCGTCGTTATTCTTACCAATCTCTGGCATTTATAATGTTGGATCACACATACGCCTTGCCAGCACAAAAGCAACCCACTGTTTCTACACCTATTTCGCCTGTTTCAACATCTGCACCAACTATTGTTTCCTCATCACCGACAACATCACCAATGAGCCCATTAAAGAGAAATTCTCCTATTATGTCGACTGCATCTTATGATTTACCAGTTACAGTTCCAACTAGTGTCACAGGAGCTACCACACCGGTGACATCTATACCAATTGGAGCTCTCACTTATAAACCAACCCCATCTGCAGTGGCTCAAGATGATGATGCTGCTTCTGTAATATCCTCTATAGATGGAGACAGAAGACCGGCTGTCCCAGGGGGCAGTGACACTGAAACGGCTCCTGAAGGTGAAGAGGAAGGGAAGACTAGGTGTATATGTGATTTCACACATGATGATGGTTATATGATATGTTGTGATCGATGTGGTGAGTGGCAACATGTAGATTGTATGGGCATAGACAGGCAAAATATACCAGATGCCTATATGTGTGAAGTCTGCCAGCCTCGACCTATCGATAGACGTCACGCCCGTGCCATTCAATTGAGAAAGAGAGAGGAATTAAGTGCCCTTGGTGCTTCAGATTCAGATTCATCAGAAAGCATTCGCAATCCTGGACAAAGACGTAAAAGATTACTAACTGTAACAACTTACACTAACACAAGTGGATCTTGTGTTACTACATACAATTCAAACATCCCAGTTTTACCACCATTGCCTCAGACAAGTTTACCGTTGCCTAAACGCGGTCCGAAACGGCCTAAAAAGGCTGAAATGGTAAGAAAAGTCGCTAAGAGAAAACTAGCTGAAAAAAGAGTTAAACGCAAGAAAGATATATTTAATAGAAGCAAATACAACACTGGCCTTGCAAATCAATCACACTGGCAGGATTCTTATGAAGCGGCAATGACTAATCACTACAGTCCTGAGTTGAGAGCTAAAATTATGAAATATAGCAGCAAATTAGGAAACACTCCTAGTATGGCTTCTGCAATAACAGCACACTTATGTACAACAGTGCCACATGCGGGTGGCAAAATACTTATAGCAACAAAAGACCTTAAAGAAAATACTCCCGTAATAGAATTACGTGGTAAATATATGTTATCAAACCAACATAGGCCACAGGTACAAAATACAGCTAGAGCAGGAAGCCAAAAGCCAGGACCATTTGTCTTTTTCTACAGGCTTCCTAAGGATAATACCCAGATATGTATTGACACAAGAACATATGGAAATGAAGCAAGGTTTGTAAGACGCTCATGTAAACCTAATGCAGAATTACAACATTGCATTGTGAAGGGTGCTTTACATGTCTACTTAGTAACAATTGGGGTTGTCCAATCAAATACAGAAATTACAGTGGGACATGATACTAATGGTAGCAAACAACCTTGTGCTTGTGGCAATCCAAAACATTGTAAAGTTAATGGATTGAATCCAGTTGTTACCAGAAAGAGTGTTGACTACCCTCAAAGAGAAAAGAGAAGTAGAAATAGATGCTACAGTTCATCTTCACCTGTATCACCGCCTCTTGTACCAATGCCTACAACACCAATTAAAGAGAGCCCTCCTCCAATTATGCAAATAAAAACTGAAAAGAAATCACCTATTAAACACGAATTTCCTCCCATGTCACCAATCAAAACATCAGTATTAAGTTTAAATTTTGATGACCCAATTAAACCTGAAACTTTTGATGATGAAGATGATATAAAACAGGAAATAGATTTAACGGCTAAAGAAGAAATGAAGCCAGAAATGGATGAACCAGATTTTGTTAAAATTGAGCCGAAAATCGAAGAACATGATGAACCCACACTTCCTGAACCTGAACATGAACCAGAACCTGAACATGAACCAGAACCAGTACCAGTGATAAAAGAACTACCTAAAGAAATTATAAAAGAAGAAATCATAAAAGAAATTAAAGAAGAAACTCCATTCAAAATTGAGAATGTCATATCAGAAACAATTAAGGAAGAAATAGTAGAAGATAAAAAACCTAAAGAAGTACCTAAAATTGAGGAAGAAAAACCAGTACCTAACAAAGAAGTAACAGCTAAATCAGCATGTCATGATAGATCTGCACGATCAAGTAGAACTACTTGCACTAATCAAGACTCCTTGGATGATAAAACAGATGACTCACAAGATAAAATGCCACTTGTCACAAGTAGTCAAAAAGATAAGAAAAAAATGGTTGGTATATTCTTACTAGTTCTGTGGTTATAGTTTATAATTAAAATTCAGCCATAATATTTTTGCAATTCAATTTTAGACTCGTGAGGAGCGCAAAATGGAGGCTATAATGAAAGCTTTTGAACGTATGGAGAAAGCAGAACAACGTAAACAGGAGGTAAAAGAACGCCAAAAAAGAAGAGAATCGGATCCTCATCCCAACAGTGTTGAAAGAGAAGATGAAGAGGAAATACATGTTAATTCCAGAAAGAGAAAGAAGTATGCTTTAAACAATAGCACAGTAATTTAATGATTTTTTAAAACAATTGACTACCCTATTTATTATTTTGTTGATTTATTCAGGCGCAAAGGACGAGCTCGTACAACATCGCAATCCAACCGGCGACGGTTGAATTCAGCAGACAGTGACATGGTGACTTCAGGTGATGAGGCACAGCCTCCTTCTCCAAGGGCCCCACCTCCAATACAATTTCAGCCTGCTACAACAGAAGATCGACCGCAAGAAGCTGTAAATGAAGTAAGTATAAATGATACATTTATGGTTTTTTTTATTGATTAAATGAAACAAATATACAAAGGTACTATTTATTCCATCATAACTAAACTATCAAACTTGTGTTTACATTTCTAAAACATAAATAGTGCAATACCCATATAATAAAAATGAACAAATACTAATATAAGACAGACTGTGGAAGAGCGGGTATTTGACACAAAATTTAAATACCTTATAAGGTATTTAAAAGACCCTCCCTACCTTATGAAAACTCATAGAATACTATAATACATACATAATAGAACAGAGGAGTGGGCGGAGCCTGTGTCGCCACTAATATGTCAATTCACACCTATAAATGTCAACACATTTCTTTTCAGAATCAGAATCAGAATTTTTATTTGCGTAAGAACATGGTATATAAAGGTGGTACATGTTAAAAAGGTGCACATGTCTCGCTATTACAAATAGCATGCAAAATTAATATTATTATCTTGTATAATCATAAAAATAATATCACAAAGTCTCATTACAATAAATTACATTGAATTAAAGATAAATTAAAATATATAATATAACATAAATAGTATTAGGGATTGATGTCAATAAAGTCTTTAATGTCATATATTTTTCTGTCAATGAGCCACTTAAATAATTTTGATTTAAATTGATTAATAAATAAAATTTTTGATGTCATTAGGAATTATATTATATATCGTTAAACACATTTTTAGGCAACTTTTATGGTATTTAGCTGACCTTGGGATAACGTCTAACACAAGTCTATTAGGATTTCGCTTCAATCTTGTGTTCATGTCACTTGCTTTCATAAACAAATTGATATTTCTCTTCACGAAACAGCTTATTTCAAAAATATATAGTGCCGGCAGCGGAAGTATGTTGAGATTTGCAAAAACTGTTCTACAGGATATGCCAGGCGGTATTCCAGAGATAGCTCTAATACACTTTTTTTGAGCTATAAACGCCTTTTGTATATTTGTGCTATTTCCCCACATTATTATTATAAAAGAACACCTTGGTGTTCTTTTATAATAATGAAGTAAGAACTAAAAAGAAGATGCTTTGTAGTATTCTCTTACATTTAATTAAATATTAAGTTTCAGCATTTAGGAAAAGTTTATCAAGGACAAATTTTGACTGCAATGTTGTTGTGTTTAATATGCAGCATGAAAATTTTTATATATTGTAGTTTTCATATTAGTATTTATAAACTATCTTCCATTCCCAGGATCTTGGCTTAAGCTCAGCGTGTCTGCTAGTAGAAGCAGCTGTTGGTTCAGTTGAATCTGCTTTCAAGCTGCCCAAAACAAAGAAAACTATGGCTACAGAATGGATTGGACGTTCCCCAGAGCGTACACCCTCACCATACAACTCACCATACAGACCAGCTTTGGTCTCTGCACCATCATTAGAAAGTCTAGTCAGAGTTGCATCAACTATGATTGGTGATCTTAGTGGAGGACAGGATATAGAACATGAAGAGGAAACTGCTGCAACTTCACCTCCAAGAACCCCAGGGCGAGAAAGAAATAGGCCACCAAAAAAAGCGAAGCGAATCACACGCAGCACTCCTACTGAAGTAGCAGAAGTAATTCCTGCAGTATTGCCATTTCCTCAGCATAGTGCTAAGAAGCGTTGGTTGAGACAAGCTATAAGTGAGGAAAGCGACTCCCCTGTTACTGGTTTGCATCAATATGCTTTTTATATGATTTGTTTACAGATAAAATTACTTGATAATTGAACAAACAAAATTACATTTGTTAATTGTATTTTAACATGCAAAAAAAAATGTTTTGTTTCACTAATGCTGATGAGATTCTAAAATTTTACTTTAATAATTTTGTCTGTAAGCAATAGTACCATTGAATATAGAGAAAAAATTGTTACTATGTTAAATGTAGATGTTTTTGTTGCAGAATCACCTCCAAATGAAATGGTGACGCCATTAAAGAAAAGAAGGGTAGCAAGAGAATCATTAAGTTGTGACCAAAACCCTATAACACCTGTAAGCTCGTCTTTTTACTTTTTAAATATTTCTATATTTCACTAGTTTTTATCTAACTGTCCCAGAAGAAGGGTAAGGTTTTTCAAATGTATATATGTATGTCTATTTATTTGGCACTCTGAAGCCTAAATGGCGTGATAGAATTATTATGAGGTGTTGTCAGTCATCTTAATTGTGGGAGCAATATTGTTATAATCCTATATTGAACAAATGGTCTATTCTATACTAATAATTGGGTTGTTATTATAGTAATTAATTTTTTTTTTCTAGTGCATGGATGATACATCGCCAATCTTGACGTCTGAGGATTCTCCAATCAAAGACGATCCGCAGTCAATAACACGACAGTACAAGAGAAATATCATGGACAGTATGTATAGCAGAGACAGAACCAGGTCAGATAGTGGGCAAGGTTCGGATGACCAGTGTAATAATGACCATGATATTTTAAATGTCAACCTTAAAGTACCACATGATAGTGAAAACATAAGGAGAATTATCGGCGTTCCAACGCCGGAGGAAGAATATCCACCAGAAATAACAAAAACTGAAGATATCAATACTAATAATAATAATTTAGAAATGGAAGATAATAAAGTTGTACCAATGGAGATAGACACAACAATAATAACTCAAGCAAAGATTCAGGAGTCTAATGAAAACAACAACTGTGAACTAAAGGGCCTAGACAGTCCTAATGATAAAGTTAACAGCTCTCAATCTGCCGATACTAGCGGTAATTCGTCGCCGCAACGAGATGAAATGGATGATATTCAAAAGAAAATTCATTCTTTCCACACAGAGAATATTCTTATACTGAAAAGCAGAAATAAGAAGCCACCAAAAGAGAAGCGGAAGAAAGTAAATCTCAATTTTGATCTCAACATGGTAGATGATCGAATTAGTATTCAGTTACGTACAGAAAATGATACAAACTCAAAAGCTTCTGAAATAAATGGAGATGTACATGAAGAGTTCAGCAATTCCATTCAAGATGATGCAAAAATTCATGTTTCTCCAGAGGATATACCTTTGCCTCCTGTGGAGACAATACCTCTTCCCGCATCAGAAAATATTCTTCTACCTGCTCCTGAAAACATACCTCTTCCTGAAGAACCAAGTCCGATGCCTATTATACCCTCACCAGAAAGAATACCATTACCTGAAGAGCCTATAAAGCCTATAAAGCTTGTTAGTGGTGCATCACCTCTTTCTTCATCAGAGGATGACAGATCTGAAGAGAAGGAGGTTATTTCAACAGATAGACCATCTGTACTAGATTCTACGCTTCCATTTTCGTCACGTTTTAGTTCAACAGGACTCTTCTCGGGTATATTCAGCAATATGTCACACTCATTCAAGTTGGATAGCCCAATTAATGAGAACATACCAAATATGTCCATAATAAAGAGTGCAATAGATAGGACTACAAGTTTAGACAATAGTTTGTTCGATAAAGACAGTATAACTCCAGTGGATGAGTTGAAAAGTGTGCAAGAGATATTGACTCGTGTGAATAACATGGACTCGAACAATAGTGTTTTATTGTCGGGTGTGCTCAAGAACTCTAACAAGAGCCTGTTGTCATCTCCATCACAGTCACCTAAGCCTGCTAGCAAACCGTACTGCCCCCGCAGCAATGATCCCCGATTAAACCCTCCTCTAGTTGAGAAACCCAAACCAGTTAGAAGGAAGGTGAGTACATGCTGTTTTACTATCTATATAAGTTGTAATTTAAACAATTATAGAGAACTACTACTATTCTAATAATACTATTCTAATTTGGCATGTTATTTTTAAGCTATGTTTCTGAACAGGATAAATATTTGACATGATACAAACATTAAGTCTACCCTCAAATCAGCAATTTATGTATACAGACCATTTCACCAATATAAGTGGGAAAGTGTAATTTTTCTTATTTGAATTATTAATGAATTCAGTAACAATTCATAATATTAAATTACAGTGATATTGTATGTCATTGTTGTGTCATGGAATGTATATTGTTATGAATCATACTATGTGCATTTACACAAAATTATTAAGTGCAACTGCTCTGCATATCATAATTATATATTAAATATGTTGTTCTTGCTGCGAAATTATATAATAGCAATTGCTTTATAATCTTCAGGAGCAAACCGCTGTTCCCATAATGTATTATTTTTTAACTATAATTTACATGAAACCATTAAACTATAGATCTAATACTAACAAATAAAATAGAAAAAGATAGAGTTAACCAAATTTTTTATCCTTAGGTACAAATTATTATTATTATCTATTTTTTTATTTTATTTGTTAGTATAAGTTTTATAGTTTAATTAATAAAATTAAGAAGAAGCAATAAACACAAAAAGCATTTAATTAAGTGATTCTCCTGAAACAACTGGTAAATTTATCAATAATGTTATAATCTTAAAAGGTAACAGACTCCAGATTATTTGATTGTTTTGCCACATTTATATTTTATGTTCTGTAATTGAGTGACATTGTTTAACAAATGTCAGTATGGTGAGCAGAAAAGTTTACATTTGATACAACTTAAGTTAATGGCACTTTAATTTAATCTATCTATTAAAATTCTTTTGTAATATCAAAACATTGTGCTGTTGTTTAAACTTCAATTAATTTTTAAAATGCTATGCACATCATTCATTCTTTTTATGTTTAATTTAAGAAGTTTATTACATATAGCAATGTATATATAGTTTTAAAAATAACTAATGTAGAGAAATTTTTAGATGGTCATGATAATTTGTCTTGTTTACCACGATGCATATGTGAAACTATTAACAAGTTGTTTATTGTTATTTTAACTACATTATTATTTTTCTTATTTTGTTTTATCATATTACATAAAGTCTCAAAATATAAGTGCCAAATAATTCATTTTAAATTTCTAAAACTACATTATTACAATATGAATAATAGCAGTAGTATAATGTTTAGCAAGGAAAATGAACATATTAAAAATTAAACAACAAACAACTGTTGTGAGAGCTGCTATTTTGACTTAAAACAATGGATAGAATGTGATTTATAGTTTATGCCTCTGGGTGATGGATATATTGAATTTATATTACAAAATTATCCTTAAATATAGTCTAAATTTATAATTATGTATTACACTGCTATTGACATTTCGGGCCTAAGGGATTCAGACTCAGTGTTTTTATCATGCACCATTTGCATACTTTTGCATTGTTTAGAACTGGGCATGACAAATATAACCATGCTCAACTTCTTGACACACACTCATGTGGACATACGCATCTAAAACAACCATGTTGACAAATTATTTTAGAAGCTTAAATGTGTTTAGTTGCATGTATTTTGACATCACATTGAATGTATCTATCTTTCTTTGTCGATTTCAGGGTGTTTTATAAAATAAATTTGAAATTTACAAGTGGTTGGTTATTGTAATCTTCAAATTGTTATTTCAAAAGAATTGAACTTTAAATAGAGGTTGAAATCCTGTGTATCTCTATCAATTGAGCAAATGTCATAATGCATTGCAATTTTTTTTAAATGTACTAAAAATATGTTACAAAAGATCAAGGATAATTTAAAAAATCAACAGTTTTACATGGGTTAGAAATTTCGTAAAAATCATAGTAATTTGAACCAAAAAGTTAATAGATCATTTTATAATTTACGGTTATGGTGTGTTCTAAAACAGTAGTAAGGAGTAAATGCTTTTTCTCAAAACTCATGGACCTTGTATACATATTATTTTAGAGTTTGTTATATTGCCTATTTTTTGTTAGTAACTTTCGCAGCCACATGCCCAACAGCTCACTAAAGAGGCAAACAAAGAAGCATTAATTTTTATGAATAAAGTTGTGGTCTATTTCTTTTTTTATAGAAAAAGTGTTAAACGAGCACACAGTTAAACTGATAGTAAGTGGATGCTGTGGCCCATAGACATCTACATTTATCCTCGATTTAGAATTAAAATGCAGATGCTTTGTCACCCACATGTAAGATGGAATGCTTCATTTCTAGTAAAAAAGGGTCTCCACTCACCATATGATACGCAGCAGTATTAGGCTGCTATTAAATTTATTAATTTTACGTTGGTATTCTATGAGAGCATGGTCCTTCCTCGATTGAGCTATTATACCGTAATATAGTCATTTGTGCTACAACCATAATATAGCTGTGAAATCTATATACAGTCGTATATGAAGTCTGTATACATTCCACTTCTGAGCACTTACTTTCATATCTATGAGGATTTTGAGGCAAAGAATGGCAACTGTGCTAATCCAGTGCCTTTTGGAGGTCGGTTGTATCTTAGGTCATATTATATTTCTGCAATAGTTATAAAAACTTACAATTTATTAATTAGTATATTTACATATTTTATTCCTAATCTGAATTAATAATTAAGAATTTAAATTGAATAATTAAAATAAATTCAATAGTAACACATTTATAAATCGAGTAGTTGACACTGCTATTAATAAATTACCAAATCAAATAATTTTATTTGCCTCATTTAGTACTGTCCTAAAACTTGATCAATTTTCCATTTTTATTAAATTAATTTAAGTCATTAATTAAGTTGATTTAATAAAATCGCAATTTATATCATGATTATAAAATATGCAAATAAGGTTATTGACATTAAAAACATTTTTTAAGTTGTTTCGGATTTTATTTTAAGTTGTTTCGAGAAAATTATGCAGGAGATGGGCTCATGTATATTTCCTTCTATCGCCTCTTACAGTACCCAAGCAATTTTTAAAAGGGTAAAGAACATCAGAAAGAGCAGATTTGAACATTCTTTTGGAGGGGATGAATTCTTACAATGTTAACAGGCTGCCTCTTGAAAATTTTCAATGTATTTTGGTTTCTCTATTAAATAGTCCATAGGTGTACAACTAACTACAAGTGTCGCCATTGGGGACTTAGATGAAATGCCTCACAGTCTAACATGATAAATCCAAACCTTTGATTAAATTGAAATAATTTCATAGAGCTTCAATTACAGAGAGATACCAACCACTACTCGTCGATCCCTCCTTCAAAAACATTTTTTATCATAGAAGTCAAGAGGACTACCTTGCATACAGTCACAAACAACCAGATGATACTTAGACATTAGACATCTACATCGGTAGATTTAGAACATGCAAAATGCTGATATGTTGTCACCCCTAAGGACAAAGATGGAATGCTTCGTTACTAGTAAAAATGGTCAGTTTCCATACACACAATACGAAAAACATCATTATGCTATTATTTCACGCTGGTATTCTGTGCGAGCATGGTCCTTCCTCGGTCGAACCGACACATTCTTACATATTAGACAGACTGCATAAATATAACATTGGACTAACTAACCTTATCTGACGCAATACAAAATCGTAATTTTTTCTATTAAACAGCTCTCTATAACGGAATACCGCAAACGGCACAAGTGCGTCGCTAGTGATTCCGGTTCGCCCGCTTCTGGGGAGGCTCAGGAAGGGGGCGAAGCGTGTTCGGGGGGCAGAGGGGCGTGCACGGGTGGTGAAACTGGGACGTGTCCGGGGAGTGAAGTGGGGGCAGAGTGGTCCTCGGAGTCTTCGGGCGGGGCGTCGCTGTCGCCACAAAGGCTGGAAGCGGCCGCCGCAGCCGCCGTCGACGAACTCGAACAGCGATTGCATAGGGACCTAGCCGCAACACACACACCCAAAGGTGAGTTTACCTATAGCCTTGTCTTTCTTTATGTTCTTTATAAAATCAACATGCAATGCTTGTTTCAAGAGTCAAAAGAAACCAGTTCAAAAATGAAGATAATTTTTTTTTCGGTGTCATGTCGCGTGTTAGTGTTACATGCCAACACGGACGATCACTTCGTCATAGGATTGCCAACTTTTTTATATCAAATATAGTATTTCCCAGGAGTCGGTGGATGGAGGTGGCTCGGGTTAGTGTTTTGTGTCCTTGGCCATAACATTAGATAGGACACAAGGATGTTCAGCATTGTGATGGATTGAAATGAGGATGATGGTGATTTTCAAGGCAATTACCTCAAATGATTTTTTTTATAGCAGAAGAGTGACAAACGAGCACACAGTCCACCTGATGGTGAGTAGTGGTTACTATGGCCCATAGACATCTACATCTATCCTCGATTACGAATCAAAATGAAAATGCTTTATCACCCGTGCAACTAAGATGAAATGCCTCATTTCCAGTAAAAAGGGTCTCCAATTCTCTACACTCACCATACGAAACACAGCAGCGTTAAGCTGCTATTTTACGCTGGTATTATGTGATAGCGTGGTACTTTCCCGGACGAGCCGACCCATTCGTGCTACAACTATACTACTAATATAGTTGCAATATGGATATACCACGTAAGACCTTTTAAAACAATATTTTATTTATTTATAAAGGAATATGTTTGCTTTTCTTAACAGCCTCATGGCGTATTAAAACAGTGATTACGTCTATTATATATGTTTTTTATACTCTATATGGTATTTTATACACATTATATGGTAGAGTTGGCAACCCTACTCCGTGCTAATCGTTTATTTAATTTAAAAAAATCGGAGGCTGGAATACAGTGTACTTACTACCTACGGACTACCTTAACACATCAAGACCTAAAAAGCCAGCAACGTGTCATTTAATCGGTTCGTAAATGTCCTCCAGACCGAATTTCGGTCACGGCCACCTGCCTCAACGGAGACTAGCCATCGGCGCAGGACAGGATTATAGTGCCCAAGTTTATGCGCAAGCACAGTTCCACTCTATTTCTTCACTCTCATAATCCGATGGGACGGTAAACCGACACGGCCGGAGATGGATCAGGCGCAGGACCAACGCCACCTTCCGCAACTTCCTCACTCTGGGCAGCTACTGAGAATTTCTTGGCGGAAAAACACAATAATTGAATTTTGGCCCGACCCGGGGTTCGAACCTAGGACCTCATGATCAGCAGTCACGCTATTACAACCACTAGACCGACGAGGCAGTCGATTTGTAAATAGTCCACTGTTAGACTTAAGCCTCTACATAGTGGAACGACAGATTTGCGCAGTCGCAATTGTAATACCATAATTTTCGCCCTTTGGAACTGCTGCAAATAAAAGATTATACCTTTTGTTCAAAGAAGGGTGACAAACGAGTACACAGTCTACCTGATGGTAAATGCTGTGGCCCATAGATACACAAATATATCTTCAATAGAATAGAAATACAGATATGTTGTCGCCCTGAGGAATTTATTGAAATGTTTCGTTACCAGTGATCAGGGTGTCCGTATTATGGTGATATTTCACGCTGGCATTCTGTGCGAGCGTGATCTTTCCTCGGTGGAGCAGGCTCTTTCGTGGTGCAACCATAAGTCGCCTTGCTCTACCACGTACAAATGTCTAGCAAACATCTAATATTTTTAATGTTGTCACATAGCAACTACCTTTTATCTCAGAATACCCTGGCAAACCTGCCTTAGAACCACTAACCAACACTGATTTGGTCATCATCATCATCATCGATGAAGTATTTTTGAGTCCTCTTGATAGTTTTGAAATAACTCACAGAACGAGATGGAGTAATAGACATAACGCAGTTTCGAAAACTACATAAACTGTTTCATCGAAGAAGAAAAATGAAAATGAAGTGTAGATATTTAGAAGTTTAGAGGAGAAATAATTTACTATTAATTTCGACATTCGAATCGACATTGAATAAAGCTAATTTTACGGATTTTGTAGCGATTAAATAAATTAAATTAAACGCGATAAAATCTGTAAAATTAGTTTTATACAATTTACCTTTTAAGTTTTACGTAATTGCGTTTCACAACTGTAGAATGGTATAAATATAATAATACATAAACACTCACGCCTGTAACCCAGAGGGGTAGACAGAGACTACAGACATCCATTTGGCACGATCCTGACACACCTCTCTCGCCTCCTCCAGATTCATATACTTACTACGCATACATGCTCGTCGGTACTCTTAATTTGGCCCATTTTCAATATATCCCAATCGCCAATTTGGTCAATGAACTTTCGCCTAGAACGTACCTAGTTCCGACTCTGTCGTTAAGTTAAATACATGTTTGTAGGTATAAATCCATGCATACATTTTCACTCGTGTCACCAAGAAAGGTAGGCAGATACTAAGGACTTCCATGTGCTACGATCCTCCTGACACAACTCTATCGCTTCGTTCGCAATCCATATACAATCGCTTACAAGTTCGTTGGTTAATTTTTTCTACATACCCAAACCACCACAGCAATCATTTCTTAATCCTGGTCACAACTTGGTCTTGCAAACAACAGTTTTCTCCTACAGCGTATCACATAATTTCTTGTTCGTATAACTCAGATGGAATGAGCATAGTTTCAGAATAAATAAAAATTATTTATGTTGTTTCTATATGTATAGAATTATGTATTGTGGAAAACGAGCACAAGGTCAACATTGTCGATACGTTATCAAACATCGGATTATCGATGAAAGTTCATGACGCTATCGACGTGTTAGTAAACGTGATGGCGTGTGGCAAGTGAAACAAAACCAGCTGATTAAGCAACCAACCAACAGAATAATTTTTCCGTCTATCCACTTTCACCAACCTTGTGCTTTAGAGGTGTTAAAATTCTGAAAATAAAAAATTATATCCACAATCTTAAATATTTTCTGTTTGTGCGAAAAATTTGCCTTTGGTCTCGTTCAATTTTATTTCTACAAATTTTATAAACGGTATGCAATTTTCCAATTGTTAGACAACGGCGCCGTGGCTTAGTTGGTTAAAGCGCCTGTCTAGTAAACAGGAGATCGCGAGTTCGAATCTCGCCGGGGCCTATGATGAGATTAAAATCTTTTTTTATAAATTTTGTAATTTATATATATATATATATATTTTTTTTTTTTATATATGTCTTTGTCCTACTGAGTTGTTCTCATTCAACTTAAAGTTAATTTTTACTCGTTTAGATACATTTTATAGGAAAGTTGTTGATTTTTGCGTAATTGCTTCGATTTTTTTTTGGTAATTTATGTAGTTTTTTTTTATTTTAAATCTATTATATTTCTGCCGTACGTTACTAGTGCGGTTTCGGTTACATTGTTCCAGAATTTGTCAGTTTCAGCATAACTGGCATGCAGCCAAAGTTATTTATGGATTGCAATAAAGAAAATACGTGATACGCAACTATTTAAACAAACGTTTAGCAACAAAGTGCAATGTGGGTTAGTCATTAAGCTTTGCCAGTTATAAAACATGGATATAACACGAATGGGTCGGTTCGACCGGGAAAGGACCTCGCTCTCACAGAGTACCAACATAAAACAGCTGAATAATGATTCTGTGTTCCGTATGGTGAGTGAAAAAAACTGGATACCCTTTTTTATAGAATAAGGGGACAAACGAGCACACAGTCCACCTGATGGTAAGTGGATGCTGTGGCCCACAGACATCTACATTTATCCTCGATTAAGAGTTAAAATGCAGATGCGTTGTCACCCCTGCTGAGGACTAAGATGAAATGCCTCGTTTCCAGTAAAAAGGGTCTCCGGTTCTCTACACTCACCATACGAAACATTATTAACTTACGTACCAATGTATGATACTCCGGCCGAGCCGACCCATTTGTGCTACAACCATAATATAGCTGCAGCATGGCTCTACCACGCCTGCAATAAAAAAAGTAAAGTAATAGATCACATACGTCCCACATTGCTGGGCTTTTGGGCGGCACGGCAGGTAATAGAAAGCCGTACTGCTCCAAGTCAGCAGACTTTACGTTGAAGTGTTTACAATGTGTGTTGAGGGACTTTATATGTCCTGGAGTATGTTTGATTTCTTAGACAGGTTTCCTCGCATCACAGGTTCATCGCTGAGTTCACGCATTAAAGTTGTGTTCTGACAGAATTAGAACACGGTTAGCTTGCGTACTGTGCGCCGGCGCCCAGCCTTTGAGCTATCACGGAGTTTAACATATGGTTTTTTTTTAAATCACCCTTAAAACACAGTTTACGCACTGTTGTTTTATTCGCAAAATACAATGTTTTCAAACTTATCTTTTTCAAATGAAGTTTGTTCATTGTATTAGTTCGGAGGTTTCGAAACGTTGTGCTCGTTCATCCCGATGCATTATTCAATGTCCGATTTAGGCTGTTTGATTTGTCGATTGTTTTCGTACAATATATGTAAATAAAGATCTCAGCCCTATAATATGTTAATGCATAGGTACAGATTAAACTTAACTTGCTTTAAAGACAAACATGCACAGAGCTATGAATCGCTGCCCTGCGCCCACAGTTTCCGTATGCGCACATGTAATTAATTAGAAAAACAATATACATTAAATTTCTTCTGGTATTTAAGAGGATACCTTGAAAATGAATCGAAGTTTTGAGGGTGTGGCTTATTCCTTTGTCGGTGAAGCTAACGGACGACTGCGGGAGTGTCAAAATGAAAGTGACTTCATAGTACGCGAATTATGAGATAGCCATACCGAGCAAGCGCTCGGGAAAAAAACTAAGTAAGCGCCAAACAACATTTTTATTTATTTTAACAAAACTTCGTTATGGATTAAAAAACTGGTTTATGAGAACTTAGATATGATTATTTACTATGCTTTAAAAATAATTCCATGAAATTATTCGTAAAAATATTGTGGTGTCATCGAGAAATGTAAATAATTAGAGCCTACTTTGCAATTTTTT